TCATCTTTTGTTATGTAAATCATCAAACTTTTTCCGGCCGTTTTTTCAAGGATTCAAGTCGAATTATTTGTTTCTTTCTCTTTATTCCTTTGTCTCTCTCTCGTAACACAATAACAATGTAAGTTGGGAACATTAGTATCATATGTATTTGTATAGTAATCATAACGATCAACTGATTAGAACATTTTTGACAAGGTTAGTTTCCAATAGAATATTTTTAAGATAATTAAAAATAGAAATTTTTGTATGAATAATTATAGAATACAAATTTCTTTTACTGCATGACAATAGAATTTTTATGTTTTGTCTAGAAATGAAGTTTAAAGTATTGAACACAATGAAAATATTTTTCACTGGGTCTTAATAGAGTTTTCTTTTCTTCGCACGCACTTAAGTCGCAAGCTTTTGTATATATTAAGAGACTATAAAACTCTTGCTGCATGTATATGGAATATTTTTGTTTGAATTAAATATAGTCTTTTTTTAGAGCAATGAGCAAATTAAATAAAATTGTTGAGTAGTTATAGAATAGTCTTCACAAGATATAGATGAGAAGCCTACATGAATGAATGATGGCGATCTTTTAATACATACTTACAGCATTTTTGATAAGTGATTTAGGAATAAAGTTTTTCAAAAGTGAAAAGGCTAACATCTTTTTATCGTTTGCAAACTTTATCTATCATTTTTAGGATATAGATAGTTTTTTCATCGCTCCATTCTTCGTGTAATGTTTTTAGCAATATAACTAAATGAAATAATTTTAAGCAATTAAAGTTTAACGTTCGTTACCCCTAGGTATGCAATTATGACTATTTGTATTTTAGACCCTCATTCCATTTGCTATTGAAAGGCGACAATTAGCAGTAGAAAGTAATCGGTGAATAATTGAGTATAGTAGGAGGGCTATAAAATACATTGAAATTTTTTTCAATATTGAATACTAGTTATTTTTTATTAGGAGATTTCTATGTGTACTCTCACAGTTATCAAAAAAAACCAACAAGAGAAAAGGATTGTTGCATATACAGGATATGAAAAAAATGTGAACTATATTTAGAGATATAAGTATATCGAACAATCCTTTTTTCTCTTGTTGTTTTTCTTTCTGATAACTGTGAGAGTACACATAGCAATCTCCTAATAAGAAATAACTAGTATTCAATATTGAAAAAATTTCTATATTTTATAGCACTTAAATACTTATTTATTAACCCATGAAAACGTAAATTTTCAACGGGTTTAAACTTATGAAAAGTGGCCGATTTCTTGCATTTAAACGCGTTTAAACGCTTGCGTTTTCACTCACTATAACGAGTTCAAAGTCAAACAGAATTCAACTGTTAAAACGCCAAAATTCGAACATTTGTTGAAAGAAAAACTGCTTTAAAAGAAAAGAAAATAACGTTCGTTATAACGTGTTTTTTGCTTAATTTTGACCGCTAGGGTGGGTGTGGATCTTATTTTCAGGTACATCCACACGCACATCCTTAGAACGAAAGCCGAAAAAACTTCGGAGACTTATCAACAAGTTTTAGCAAAGAATAAAGCTGAAATTATACTATTATTATGGCAACTAGCTGTTCTTTAGGAGCAAGAAAATGAGTAGCATTCGATTCTAGTCACATCCCAACACATTTGTTCATTAATTAATAAATTATACGAGTCAATCTCAGTCAACATCAATCTTAATATTATACTATTGCAATCGATGGCATCATATTACTTTGATACCAGAGAACTAAAATTTAGTGATCAATTTTTTTTGTAACGAAATTCAAAGCACAACAACTACGAATATCGCACTAAATTTTAAGACAAAATAATTTATTAGTTTATTCGAGATTTCGATAAAGATGGACTTATGATTTTCAGGAACACTAGAAAAATGAAAAAAAATATAAGTGATTCTGATGTCCATTGTAAAGTTTGGACATCGAAAATAGGTATGTCTATTTCAACATATGTATTGATCATATGCTACATGCGCTGCTTAAACTAAGTTCTCATCTATTATCGTTTACGGAGTGCTGAGAATGAACTAACTTTTTCTTTATTTTACATGTGGCTGCGATTGTAGGCGTACTTCTGATTTTACGACATTCACAGCTTTCTATCAGACTGAAAACCAGAAAAACATTGGCGGACAGAGATTATTTTTGTGTTCTTTCTGGATATTTAACTTTAAAAAGAAACGTTTCGAAAACTATAAAATCATATTAATTCTTTAATATCATCAGTTTTGATTTCAATAAGATAGAATATCGCTTAGTAGATCTGAAGAATTCCTTGGAACTCTAAATAGGACAAAGTTAAAAATGATAGTTTGCCGAAGCAATTTTTCTTATACTTCGGAGTATTGTTTATTCACCGATAACGTTTCTAAATACAGCCGTTTACCTATTTTGACCGTGTTTTCAGAAAAACAATGTATCATAGACAGCAGCATCACCTATACAGGTGTCTTACATTATATGGAACCGTGCGCCATCTGACACTTTCTATTGAGTATTTTTTTGTACCAATAACTAAAAAGAATGGAGAGAAAAAAACCGCATCATCAACATCATCTTATTCTTTCTACTTTATTCCAATATTATAAGTAGCCAAGTCAACAAAATGCATTCATCTCAATTGTTGCATTATCAGCGAAATAGAAAGAACTATTGCAACAATATTTGCTAGCTTGCTAATTTAACATACATTTTGTAATATGTCGACCGAACATTTTCGACCACCTGCCATTCCTTTAGTCACTCACACACCCTACTTTAGTATATGGTGTACCTCAAATCAGTTGACTGAAACATGGAGTACCCATTGGGCGGGCATGTCCAAGCCATGTGTGGTTTAATAAGAATCGATGGACTTACGTTGCATTTTATGGGCATGGAACCAACTTATATTCCAGTTCTCACACAAAAAAGTGTCACAGTAGCAGCAACAACAACTGCATTTGTATTTGAAGGATATGGGATTAGTTTGAATGTAGAATTTCTTTCTCCACTTCTACCTAAAGATCTTGATCTTCTAACTCGACCTGTTATCTATGTGACATTCACACTTCATGCTACAGATGGAAACGAACATTCTATAGAAATTTACTTCGACAATACAGCAGAGTTGGTAGTCAATGAAACTAATCCAAAAGTCATTGCAGCACAACAACATATCAAAGACATGGAAATACTCTCATTTCAGTCTGATGAACAGGCAATACTCGTGAGAAAAGGTGATGATGTTCGAATCGATTGGGGAATTCAATACTTAGCGATATCTGGTGCAACACAAATGTCAAACCTTGAAAGGTGCGACTAGCTTGGGTCGATGCACATTTTCTCATCATGGTACATTACCGGATTCTAACGGTAGGAGATTGTCACGAGCTGCCAACGACGATTGGCCTGGCATATCAATAATTTTATCATTTGATAAAGTTGATAGTCATTCAGTTTCTCGTCATATATTGCTTGCTTATGACGAATTGTATTCGGTCGAGTATTTTCATTGCAAATTAAAACCTTATTGGAAGCGCAATGAACTTCAAATAGAAGAAATTTTAATAAAAGCCGAAGTCTAGTATGTTTTAGTACGGAAGAAATGCCATAAATTCAATGAAATACTTCGCAAAGAATTGAATGATCGTGATGGAACAAAATATTCAAAAGTAGCTGAGCTAGCTTTTCGTCAATGTTTATCAGCTCATTCTATCGTACAAGATGTTGATGGCACATTACTCATGTTCAGTAAAGAGAACAGTAGCAATTGTTGTATGGGAACAGTAGATGTAATCTATCCAGGTGCTCCATTCTTTCTTTATTTTAATCCAAGTCTACTCAAAGCGCAACTTGTACCCGTTCTTAATTATGCTGAAAGTACACATTGAAAATTTCCTTTTGCTCCTCATGATCTTGGGGTTTATCCACAAGCAAATGGACAAGCATACGGAGGAGCGGAACATTCCGAAGCATATCAAATGTCTGTTGAAGAATGTGGCATCATGATTCCTCTCACTGTTGCCATTTGTAAAATAGAAAATAAAACAAATTTAGTCGATCAACATT